AGATTTCTGAAGAAGGATCTAGGCCCGAAACGTCAGCTTTCCTGCTCCTCTGATGCTGCTTGGCCTGCTGTGTTCATCCAGCTCTACACCTTGTTACCTCTACATTGATCTTATTAATGTTCCTGCCTCAAACTGAAAATTTGCATTTCCACAGCACTTTTCATGCTCTCACAATGGCCCAAAGCTCTTTACTGTGCAGTCACTGTTGTATGCTGGGAACACAGCAGCTAATTCGCAACATTAAACTGCCACAGAACAAGCAATCGAATCAGAAAGTCTGTTTTTTTATGTGAACAGATATTACTTATAGGATGAAAACTTATGAAAGAAACACAGGAGAACTTTACTGCACTTGTTAGGAATATTAAGATGGGACCTTTTAAGTCTACCTGAGGGCCTCACATCAACGGCTGTGACTGTGCCATACTCATCAGTCCTGCAGCAAGGCCGTCAGCACAGATTAGCAACCCCAGAAGATGGGGGCTCAATCTTCTGATGTCGAGCTGTAATACAGTCTACAGAAATAGCCTTGCTTATTTCAATGGGAGGTCTCTTATATTGCTTATCTATTTCCCAAGATATTGCCTTCTGGAAGGAGGTCCACATTCCCAAAACGGGGGCGAGTTAAGAAAAGAGAAGTTTGGATGATATCAGTTTTGTACCTTGTTCAGGACCAGAACTGCTGGCACATGGGAATATGTTGTAAGGCATTTCAACAATTCAGTGTGGAGCTGGTTGCGTGTCCAGTGGTCTGAGACGTCTACCAAAACAAGCACTACGAGGCAAACACAGTAAAGGTTTTCACTCATACTCAGTAGATACAGGTGCTGTGAACTGTCTGGATCAAGATAAATTTCTCTCTCACTCACCCAAGTCCGCCTTTTCCACTGAATGCCAGGGGTCAACCAGCAATGATTTCTCCAGGTTGTGCCTGGTAGGAATGGAACGGTAACTTATTAAACAGATCAGAGAAATTGTAAAATGTGAAATAAAAATAGAAAAAAAACAAGTGGAACCTTTTTCCTTTGATGGCAGGAACAAGACCAGGGGTGTCCAGAAGAACCTGAACAGAAAGTGAGAGAACGAGAGAAATCGATCAGGAACAGCAAGAGAATGAAAATTAATCTGCACCTCCAGAACATGGCACAATGATTCCAGGTTTATCAAAAGGCATTTGGGAAAGTAAGCAGTGACTAAATGCTAAGACTCGAGCACCTTGGGAAGGAGACAAGAGCGGGATAAAGCAACGAGTAGGAATTTAGGAGAGAGAGTTTCCGATTGCAGCTGTGGCATATGTGACAGATCTAACAAGGACTTGAGAGGCAAGAGAAATCACAGAGGTGGTGATAATCTGCAAGCCCTCAGCTGCTAAAGATTTTGAGGAGTGAGTTGACACTGGAGGTTTTAGGTTTATCCAAGAGGACTATTTTACAAGTTGGGAAACTGAGTGGTTAGCATATTTATGAAAATAGAATCGAGGAGAGGGTCTCACAGAGAAGTTAGGTTCAAAGAAATGTGAGAGAAACTAGAAAAATACAGGGCTATGGCCAAGGGCAGAGCTGGATGGTCAGTGCAGCTATGTTTTGCTGGTTCAAGGGAAGAAGCTGAATGATGGTCTCAATCTTTAGTGACAAAGTTCAAATTGCACTTGGGGCAACGCACAGAAAAGAGGGGTTTAAGGAGATAGTTAGTTGGACTTAGCTGCAGATAGCTCATCATTTCTCTCTGTGGAACCAATCAATAAGAACTGTGCAATAAAATGGAATGGACACTCAATTTAACACATCCTTTCCTGCAATGGCTGAAACCGTCACTTTCAAGGTTTGCACTTCACTGAAGAGTCATATCCCAGCAAGAAGCAACAAGCTCAACAGGGGAATACAAACGGTCTGGGCCACTCACATTCCCAAACTTGACCACTTCACTCAAAACCTCATCCTGTCCAAAACAGAATTCAATCAGATGGAACTAAAACCCTTGGAAAACAAACCAAAATCCTTCAGGAAAAAGCTGGGCACGCACAATTTGTGTCGCTCCATCAGTGATGACTCCTTGAGCTCGACAGCGTGTTGTATGAACTTTGCTCGAAACAGGAAAGACCTACAACATAATAAACAGAAAACATTAAATAACAGGCAATAACAATTGAGGCACATTGTTCTAACCAGCCAGCAAACATGGGGTAATAATTCATATCCTGTTAAACATCACGTTCATCATCTATTTAAGTGTAAAATTATCTCAAGATATCCCCACTCTTCACTGCTAAATGTCCAATTGTATTATTTTATAGACAAATGTGTATATTCTAACACTTTCTGTCACAAGTTATGTCGAGCGGAAGCTGGAAATCTTCCTCAGTGTCATATCAGATGGTCAATTAACAGAGTTCAGTCCAGTTTCTTTACCACCCAGTCCCCGTTCTGCATTCCTGAAATTTCTCCTGGTCTCCACTCTTCCTCAGGCCTCTCCTCCTCCTCTGCCATTCTACTTGAATAGGAACCTGTTTCATCTGTAACATTTTCCAGTTCTGGCACAAGGTCATTGACCTGAAATATTGACTGTTTCTTCCTTTCTTGCCTGACCTGCTGAATGTTTCCAGCATTTGCAGATAGTATCCAGATAAGATCAAAAGCATCAAGTCTTCCTTTAAAACAGTAAGCTGTGCTTACCTTTCTGCGAAGAAGCTGGTTGGACAGGGTGGATTTACCAGCATTCGGAGCCCCAATAATGGCAACTCGGAGCACTTGTGAGTTTACAGGCTGGTCTGGCTGGAGGAGGAGGAGATCATCCTGCTCAGCTGGGAGGACAGAAACACAAATTTAATCATTCAGGAAACTGAATCTTGTGAGCAGAGTGCCAGGCAGAGTCAAGAATACACAATGAATATCTGAAGAGAAATTGTTTGGACCAACTTACAACAGCTGCAGTGGGCACTGCACCTCAAAATTGTCATATAGGCCTCAAAGAGGGTAGAGTGCATATTAACCACAATTACACCTGGGATGAGAACGTTAAGTTATGAAGACAAGTTGGATAGACAAAGCTTGAATTGCCTTGAGTTTAGAAGTGTTTAAGTTAAGGACAGGCTGTGGATCACAGGATGTGGAAGAAAAGCAGTCAGTCCCAACACAAGTGAATTACAGAACACGTTTTGTGGCTAAATGGCCTCCCTTTGTTCCAAGATGCAAACATACATCACAACACCACATAAAGCACTACTTTAAAAGAATAACTAGTTGGTAACATGTAGACTCTTCAGCGTCTCAAAATATTTCAACTTACATTTCTTCCACTCCAATGAATATTTAAACATAACATGGTGAGGGGCAAAATGGTGAGGAAAATTGACAAATATTCCACTTCAGGCCCATCACAAAACAGAGTAAAACCTCCATTAGAGTGTCTTAGGACCAGCATCATAAGAAAGCTCATGTGGTGTCAACTTTCTCTTAATGCACCAACTATGTAAAGATTTTGTCTAAGCAAGTTGCTCATAATTATATACAAATTGGCAATGGCATGCAAACTAGTTTCAGACATGCCGCCATACCCTGACAGCAGTGTGCAAGAACAGGAAAAAGTCCTGCTGTGCATCACACTGGTCTCCTAGTCCATATTTTATTATATACATTACTGTCTCCCTCATTCTTCAAAACATTGATTTGTACCAGACCTTGGGAGTTTGCAGTAGGTTAAAACTTGTAAATCATGGTATACCCAATTTGACAAAACTTGCTTGTAGAAAAACATTTAGACCATTAGGTTAAAAAAACTCACAGGTCATCCAACTTTAAAAACAATCTCAGTGAAACAGAACTCACCTTTACTCACAGCGACAGCAGGTGGGTATTCTCCAACGATACCTTCGGTTTCTTGTTTCACAACACCATGCATCCTTCCTAAAGCCGAAGTACGGCTGTGGTGACTAGCAAGTGAGTGGGTAACTCTGGGAAGCCAGTAATTTTGCAGAAAGGCAAATGCTGATAACCACAAACACAGTAGACAATGTTACAAAAAACAACTCTAACAGTCAACTTTATCTTTTTCCAGCATCTCCCTATTCACTTGCATATAACCTATTACTTTTCTAACTTTGAATTTTGATTAAAGCTAATTCACCTCAAACATTAAGTTTTTCTCTGCATAGATGCTGTTGATCTGAGTACTTGCAGTATTTTGAGTTCTCATTTCAAAACAACGTAAGCAAAATTATCTGGCAGGCTGTGCAGTTTTTCCATTCGTAAAACATGCTCATGTTATCTCATCACACGTGTAGATTAACCAGTTATATACGAAACTTCCACTTCAGTTCCCCGCACATGCTTTCAAATGGAATTATATAGATTCTTCATCTTGCAAAATAAGGAGATCAATCAGTCCATTAGATGCTCCACTGGTCCTCTCTGGTATTACTGAAACCCCACTGCGCTGATTGTTTTGCTAAATGCACAGCTCCTGCTAGAAGTTACATCTTTTCTCAGGAATTTTCCATTGTATCACCCAAAGAAGCACCTCAAAATTGGCAACAACTTTTAAGTCAGGTGAATGTATCAGAATTCAGTCCAATTGGCTTTATTTCAGGAATCTCACAGCCCTAGAAAAGACCAGGGGTCACTTCCATAGCTTATTTAAGTAACAGTTGGTGTTTTTTTTAAAAAATCTATATTACTTGAACTCCAACCGTTCATAATCTGCATCCAAGTCATGCTCATCTTTGGGGAAATGCCTTGAATTAACTGATAACTCAACGGTGTAAACTTATCATTCTTGATTTAAAAGTCTGATTGTGAAAAATAAACTTGGGCTGCTTAAATGGGTGTGAAATTTACGAGGTTCATGCAGTTAGGTCACTCCAAAAATAAATTGCATAATGCCTTAATGAAGATAGATTGCAAACAAGACTGCCTGCATATATTTTTAATAATGGCAATAGCAAACAAGTTAACTAAATGTTGATTGCCTCCCAAAAAAGGCCTCCAATTTACATTGCAAAATTGCACATGTGCAGTGCTTAAGTTGTAACTTACAATTATAAAATGTCAAACAGTAGCAGGACACAGATATTTCTGGAGGAGCAGTGCTGTTGGTGAGGGAGAAAATGCAGCCATAGACTAAGAGTCGTGTTTTGTGCGTCGTGAAATCTTCCAACACCCGAGTCACAAGCAGCAAGCTGACAGTTTATCCTCACATCTGAAGGACGCAACATGACAACACTTTCCAATCCTGTCCTGGAGTGTGAGACTAGGCCTTTGTCATCTAACTATTACCTTGTCAAGGACAGTTGGGTCCAGGCAATAAATACCAGCCTGATCAGAGAAGCACATCCAATGAATAAGAAAACTATGTAGGCGATTAAGAATCTTAGCTGAATCTCAAATTCCCTCCCTAAAGCTTTTTCCTGACCTTTAAACCTTTCTGACTACACATCTGGTCACCTGCTCTCTCCACAGATGCTGCCACATCTGCCAAGTATCTCCAACATTCTTTAGCCTGGTCCTGCCCTTACCTTGCACCATTTTATTTCCCTACTGATCGAGAATATATCTCAACCTTATATATACACAAGGACTCTGCACCCACAGCTCTCTGTGGCAAAGAGTTCCAAAGACTCTCAACCTGGTCCTTGATTCTACCAAGATTGGAAACATCCTCTCAGCATTTACCATGGCAAGCCCCTGAAGAATTCCACATTTCAATGAGACCACCTCTCATTCTTTTAAATTCCAGTGAGTAGTGTCCTAACCTGTTTCACCTTTGCTATTAAGACAATCCCTCCATCCCAAGGATCATCCTAGTGACCCTTCTCTGAACTGACTCCAATGAAATGATATATTTCTTTAAATAAGGAGAGCAAAACTGCCCACAGCATTCCAGACAATCTTGTAGTTACTTGTTCCACTCAAATGAGGTGATTTCTATTAAACTCATGTGTGAAACCAACTCAATCAGCAGACGTGTAGCCGATCAGAGATTTTTCTATGGACTCGGGTTGAAATGGGGTCCTGCTGCTCGCCCCCACGCCCCAGCTCAGCCCTGACTGGGCCTCGGTCCCCTGGCCGAGGAGGTGCCGCCTGGTACTGACCTGCTTGGCGGCCGGAGCAAGGCCTGCGGCCTATGCTCACCAGGCTGAGCCAGGCTTTGCCTAAGAGACGGGCCATTGACCCGCCCGCCGTTCTGTAAGAGTCTCCGCTCCGTCAGGGAACCGCTACCGCCGCCATGACACCCGCCGGGCATTGTGGGAGTGCACCGCGGCATGCTGGGATATGCCTCTCCCCGGCCTCCCACAGCGCCACCTGCAGCAGGGGAGGAGGTAGCGCGGCCCAGCCCTGGGGAGTCACTCTTGTCCTGGGATGGGGGGGGAGGAGTCACTCTGTCCTGGGATTTGGGGGGAAGGGTCAATCTGTCCTGGGAAGGCGGGGAGGGGGCACCCGGCCCTGGCAGGGAGGGGGGGGGGCCGCTCGGC